TTGTTCCCTCTAAATTGAGATCAAATTTAATTTTTATTAAAATTCACATTTTTGTTAAATATTTTTATTATTTTAAACCAACCCTAACTATATTATTTTTTTAGAAGTATCTCCTTCAACTACTCCAATGATTTTGTAAAACTTTTATCGATCCATTAATTCTTACTTTTAAACTAAATAATTTCAAAATTGCCGACAATTGTATAAAGTTAGAGTATCCTAGACACAACTTTTCCTCTGAATCGAACTTAAGAGAATTATATAAATGAGTTCTTCTAAAAAAAGTTTCACCAACATCACGTATCATGTCCTCGATATGATCATTCATCTATTCGCTTACAAAATATGTTCCTCGTGATGTTATTTGTGTAATAATTCTTCATGACAAGTCCAAACTCTATAAACTCATCATTATATCAAAGATGAATATATGATCATGTATGTTGTTCAAGTCCTGTTGTATTTGATTAAAACAATGAACACAACGACAAAAAATATGTCTCTTTCACAAAGATTGTGTGTTTTTTAACATATTGCAAGAATTCAAAAACTCCATTTTCATACATCTTCACATATGCGACGTTCATTCATTCAGTTTTGATCCATACTATGTTCGTAATAAACTTCAACAATCTCAAATTTTTAACTCTCATAAGGTTAGGTCCTACCTATTCTAAAAAAATATTTTTCATAATTTGCTAAAACGTATACAAAGAAGTCTAACATCATAAACTTGATAAAATTTCGGTAGCATTTTGCATTCACTAGTAAAAACCAGAGATATTATAACGCTTGTTATGCCTCGGTTCATCAGAAACTGAAGCATATAATGACGTGGTGGCATTTTTGAAATTTTCTTGACGGCCTCAGTTGTTTTAGAATTGATGCCATATAGGGTATATGGCCTTGGTTGTCTGCAGAACCGAGGCCAAAAATCCCTGCAAGACTCTGACATTCCACATTTGCAGTATGTTGTCATAAAGGATGCACCCAGACCATCATGGATTTAGCCTCGATTCTAACGGGGACTGAGGCAAAAAAGTTGAAAAAAAATCAAAATTGCCATTTCAGATCAATTTTGATTTTTTTTTAATAGAATAGGCCTCAGTTAGACAGGGAACCGAGGCCATATCCTTTCGTAGTTTTTTTTTATTTCGAATTTTTTTCTAAATGGGTTCAGACTAAGAACCCTAATCAGAAAACTCTTCCCCATTCTCTTCTCTGTTCCAGTTAGCGCGAGAAACCAACTTCTTCCTCTTTTTCTTCTCGCAAACCACCCAGTCTTGGGGCCGAGAAGTTCTGCGTCTCGAAGAGAGACAATGACCTCACGGTGGTGAGAATGGTGGCACTGCGGAAGCGTGACTCAAGCGTGTTCTCGCCTTCGATGGCGGTTGGTGTGGACTTTAAAGGTCCTTTCGTTGCGTTGGTAGACCTTCTCCTTTTCTCTTTCTTTTTCTGGCTCGCGATGCAAGAGGAGGTAGCGCCACTATCTTCTTCCCATTTTCCCTCCTTTTCTTTCATTCTAGTTCAAGCGTCGTAGGGAGGATTTTCTTTTCCGGCATCGCAGGGAGGATTTTCTTTTCCGACGTCTCAGCGGGCATTCTCGTGGTGGTGGGATTGTGAAAGCTTTCCTCTTTTAAAGAAAACGCGGGTTCGGTTCTAACCGAGCCTAGTTGCCAACGGCGTCGCGGTGGCGATAGAAGACGACGACGACGTGTCGCAAGTGACCTCCGGCGACGACGACGAGGGTGAAGGGCTAAGTATATGGTGACGATAGCGTCAAAAACGTCACTGTGATTTTGGTGGTGCTGATTCTGCGATTTAGGGTTTAGGTTGTTCTTCAATTTTGGGGGTTTCTATTATGATGATCTGATTTCTTCTACGATTTGAGATGTAGGGTTTCATTCAAATTGAATTTGGGGTCTTTCCTGTTATGGTGTTTTAATCTTGTAATTTTGGTTAAGATTGATGGCTGGGATATGGGTTTCGCCTCTTAATTTGGGGTTTCCCGTTCGTTATTTGATTTTGGGTTGTTCTTTGGTTGCGCGAGTGGTGGCGAGGGAGGCACTGATGGTGGTGGCCATAGGTGTCAAGGTGGTCAACGTTGACAACTCCGTTTTGGCAGACTTGGAGTGAACCTTTTGGGTCAGTAGCCCAACAATGTATTTTTGGCTTGGGTTGGCAGTTTAGAGTGCACGTGATTTAAAAAAAACAAAAGGCTTTGACATCGGTTCTAGCCTGAACTACTGCCATAAGCCCATGTTATTACCTCAGTTTGAACCGAGGCCAAAAGTCCCCCAACTTTTTACCTCGCTGGTATATATCTCGGTTCGAAAACCGAAGTATATTGTCAAAAATAACCACTATCGTTTCCTTTGCTGCACTAGTGATTGATCTTTAAAATACACAAAATAANTCCTTTTCTTTCATTCTAGTTCAAGCGTCGTAGGGAGGATTTTCTTTTCCGGCATCGCAGGGAGGATTTTCTTTTCCGACGTCTCAGCGGGCATTCTCGTGGTGGTGGGATTGTGAAAGCTTTCCTCTTTTAAAGAAAACGCGGGTTCGGTTCTAACCGAGCCTAGTTGCCAACGGCGTCGCGGTGGCGATAGAAGACGACGACGACGTGTCGCAAGTGACCTCCGGCGACGACGACGAGGGTGAAGGGCTAAGTATATGGTGACGATAGCGTCAAAAACGTCACTGTGATTTTGGTGGTGCTGATTCTGCGATTTAGGGTTTAGGTTGTTCTTCAATTTTGGGGGTTTCTATTATGATGATCTGATTTCTTCTACGATTTGAGATGTAGGGTTTCATTCAAATTGAATTTGGGGTCTTTCCTGTTATGGTGTTTTAATCTTGTAATTTTGGTTAAGATTGATGGCTGGGATATGGGTTTCGCCTCTTAATTTGGGGTTTCCCGTTCGTTATTTGATTTTGGGTTGTTCTTTGGTTGCGCGAGTGGTGGCGAGGGAGGCACTGATGGTGGTGGCCATAGGTGTCAAGGTGGTCAACGTTGACAACTCCGTTTTGGCAGACTTGGAGTGAACCTTTTGGGTCAGTAGCCCAACAATGTATTTTTGGCTTGGGTTGGCAGTTTAGAGTGCACGTGATTTAAAAAAAACAAAAGGCTTTGACATCGGTTCTAGCCTGAACTACTGCCATAAGCCCATGTTATTACCTCAGTTTGAACCGAGACCAAAAGTCCCCCAACTTTTTACCTCGCTGGTATATATCTCGGTTCGAAAACCGAAGTATATTGTCAAAAATAACCACTATCGTTTCCTTTGCTGCACTAGTGATTGATCTTTAAAATACACAAAATAAAAGTGATCACTTATTACCACAATCAAGTATGCATTCAGAGAACAAGACAAAATGATCTCAATCAAAACCTTGTCAAATTTATGCACAAACTTCAATGTACATGTTATAACAAATTATGAAAAATAATTTTTCCAAACTGTTTCGATCAGACAATTTAAGATTTAATAGAAACGATTAAAAGTTCAATCATTTATACAAAATGTCAAATGGAAATTAAGATTCACTTAATGTTTAATTATCATTCTAATAAATCTTAATACAATTACAATTATTTAAACATACAACATCTAATAATAAATATAAATTTCATACTACAAGTATTTTAAAAATTAAATAAAAAAATAAATCCAAAAAAACACACTAAAAAATTGTTTAAGATAAAAATTGTCCCTACAAATATGTTTTTCGTCTCTTAAGTATCACACGATTTTGGGTTTAGATGATTTTTTTAGAGATGATGATTCAACATCCAAAGGAATTGGTAATTGGTTTGGATGGTTTTTTTAGAGATGATGATTCTAACATATGCAGATGATGAAAATAGAGAAATTAGTGAAGATGGTGAAATTGAAGAGATCTTGAATGAACCTGAAGATGAATATGTCAATGACTCAATTCTTTACAAAGGCAAATTGTTTAACGATAATTGTTTCTGATTTTTTCAATTAGGGTTACATTAGGGATGACAGAGGAAAGGTTGGAGTGTGAGAAATGAAAAGAAAGGGTTGAGAGGAATGACAGAGGTGAACAATAATTTGGGGTTTCTTTTTTTTTTAGTTTTGAGAATAAAAATTATTAAAATACCCTTAACCTTAAAACTTAGAATCATGATATATAAAAGTATTTTTGTCTACTAAAACCCAGTACACATTGCTAAAATATACCAACTGAAAAACAAACGTACGCACGTTAACAAACCCCTTTATATATATATATATATATATATATATATATATTATTCACAAGTATTTTTTTATTCCTTTCTTCTGCCATCGAAGTTGTTAACTTTTTATCGTGACCAACTTCTTAAGTTTGTCTTATTGTTATGTCTTCTCTTACATAATTCATCATTATCATTAATTTTAGCATACTAAAACCTTATAAAAATATGATTTTAACTTTACTAATCGTAATATTTAGTCTTACATATCTATTGGTTTATTAGTTAATATGTTTATTAGTCTTAAGTAAAATGTTTTCGTTATCATATTTAAATTTAAGAGATAAAATAAATAATGAACCCATCATAAAAGAATAAAATTAAATTAAAAATAAGAAATATTGATTCAAATTATGATGTAGTATGGTTTGTTTATTTTGGTTTAAATTGAACAACACCAAGCTAGAAATATTCTTTATATTTGATTTAGATATATTTTAAATAAAAAAGATGGAGTCAAACGGATGGAGAAAGTAAGTATATATACGCTTATCAATAAAGAAAAAGTAATATGATAACATTGACATAAGGATAAAATAGTTAAAAGAAAATTCGTATTAATTAAGGAAAAATAAAATAAAAAATAATGTAAAATAAAGTATAAAAATATTTTAAATGTCAAAATATTATTATTTTTGAAATGATTTATAATTAGAATGTAAAAATTCTCCTTCATTTATATTTATTAGATAACGTGATTATTTATAATTTTGGAAATAAAATAGAGTACTGTGTTGTGTAGATGCGTGGCAACATAAAGGACAGTGAAAGAGAAGCCAAGGGAGTTGGAAAGAGGAGAAAAGAAGAGAAGAGACGCAGAGATCTACCTTATTCTTTTACTCTTCCCTCTCTCTCTTGCTCTTTCACACTCAGACATGGGCTTCCCAGCCAACGGCGCCTCAGCGGACCACCCCATCAAGTTCCTTATCTACGGCCGTACGGGCTGGATTGGTGGTCTCCTCGGTACCCTCTGCCAGGCCCAAGCCATCCCCTTCCAGTACGCCTCGGGCCGTCTCGAGGACCGGGCCTCCCTCGAAAAGGACATAGCTGAGGTCAAGCCCACCCACGTATTCAACGCCGCCGGTGTCACGGGCCGGCCCAACGTGGACTGGTGCGAGTCCCACAAAGTCGAAACCATCCGAACCAACGTCGTCGGAACCCTCACTCTCGCCGACGTCTGCCGCCAACACGGCCTTCTCCTCCTCAACTACGCCACCGGTTGCATCTTCGAGTACGATTCCGGTCATCCTCTCGGATCCGGAATCGGCTTCAAAGAGAACGACACTCCCAATTTCACCGGTTCCTTCTACTCTAAGACCAAGGCCATGGTACGAGTCTAACAAATTCAACACAACTTAATTTACATTATATTTTAGATCTGGTTCGTATTATCGATTGGCACACCTTGTTGTGACAGGTGGAGGATCTGCTTAAGAACTACGATAATGTGTGTACCTTGCGAGTGAGGATGCCTATCTCGTCTGATTTATCGAATCCGCGCAACTTCATCACGAAGATCACTCGATACGAGAAAGTTGTTGATATTCCGAATTCCATGACTATATTGGATGAACTTCTTCCCATTTCGATTGAGATGGCGAAGAGGAATCTGACTGGGATCTGGAACTTCACAAACCCTGGAGTGGTTAGTCACAATGAAATTCTAGAGATGTACAGAGAGTATGTTGACCCAAACTTCACCTGGAAGAACTTCACTCTTGAGGAACAGGCGAAGGTGATAGTTGCCCCCAGGAGCAACAATGAGCTTGATGCCACCAAATTGAAGACTGAATTTCCAGAATTGCTGTCTATCAAGGACTCCCTCGTCAAGTATGTCTTCCAGCCCAACCAGAAGGTTAAAGCTTAAGTGTAAAGGTTCCCTCTTTTATCATTATTATTCTCCTCATTGATTTAAGTGTGCCTGTATTTTTATTTTATGTTGTATTTTGAATTTTTACCTTCTGCTGATTGAATAAGTAGTTTTCAAGGTACTTTCCAATGATTTTTAGGGTTCCTTTTTTCTTACCTTGTGCTTTATGATGGTTATATTACACATTGCGTGCCAAGTGAATATGGTTTGTGGGGAAAGACTTGGTATGTAGAGATAAAATGAGAAAGGAACATACATTAAAACCCACTAAGAATTGCCTCCATAACTTTTTAAATGGTTCTGTAGACAAAAATGAAAGGAAGGGAAACAAAACAATTACCCAAACAGATTACTTGCTTGATAGAGAAAAAAAAAAGGATTTATTTACTATTTTAATTTTTCACTAGTATAATAATAAGAAAAAAAAATTAAAATATTATCGATATTTGATAATTATTTGTTATATGACGTCAAATATTTTTCTGGCAAACTCGGTTATCCCTTCCCTTGGATGCAAAAAGAGAGCTGGAGTGTGTCTGGGTTTGGTTATCACTTGTGAGTTCAATACAAATAAACACTTGTTGAATGCCAATGATACATGCCTTAATCCATGACGATGTCTCAACTTTTTACATTTTGCATTCTCGTGTGCAGATCAATCTTTTTTCTATATCAATATATAATTGATTTAATATTCTTTTTAAATGAGATATCTAACAAATTTAAAACTTTAGTTTAAGTTTCTTTTATTACTTCTTTTTCAGTTATAATATTAAACTGTTACATCATCTACAATATTAGGCAATGATTTATGTAAAGTGTTTCCATTAGGTTGACATGTATAATATGTAATGAAAGTTATATTAATTATTATAGTTTTAAAAAGTAAAGAATTAAAAGATAATATTAACAAAATTATACTTAAATAAAAATTAATATAAATAAGTTTTCAGTAGACCTAAATTAAAATAAGTAAAAATATGTATTTTAGATTATTAAATTAAAACTTTTAATATATTAGTTATTTCATTTGAGGAAAAAATTTAGCAAATACTTCAAAAATAACTAATCATGTTAGAAGCTTAATTTAGGATATCGATTTATGTAAGGTGTAGTATCAATATTATAGTATTAAATCAGGATTCTCTTACATTGTTTTTAGACCTGAATGTTAAAATCAAGTAACATTAAAGGTTACATCTTAAAGAAATCTGAGTTTCTCCTAATAAAAAAGGATATGTTGTCTAGTTTAAAGTTTGTAGTGCAGAGCTTTCTTCTTTTTGTTGTGATGTTAATTGCTAACTTGTATTTATATTTGAAACTGTGTATGTTGTTTCTATTAAAATGTCAAAACATGCATTGCATATAGAAAATATTGAAATTCCAACAATGTGATCAATCAAGTAGGATAGAGAATAACTGTCACGTGTACACCAATTAAGTAGATTAATTTATGAGAGAAGCCCAATGTTATGGTTAGGAGAACTAAAACAACTCGTCAACTGAGCCCATTAAATTTGTCACATGTCACCCAATTTGTCTTTATAGTATTAAATTATGGACCATGCGTCCCTCACACAACATGATAATTAACACAAAATATAACATATGATTGTGATGACTGCCTCGAATAAATAAATAAGATACAAAACTATCGGTGCCTTGACTTTAGAATTTGGATATCCACCAGATATATTCTCTATGCATCACTGTGATTGCCTCCATCTATTCGACACAAAAATGAAAGGATTTGATCCACAAAAACCAAATACATCCAATAATTACTTCTGTATTTGCTTTTATTTTTATAAATATAGGCCAAGTAAATAAAACGATATTCAATGTAGTTAATAATGAAATAAATATAACTTGTTAATTTTGTTATAAAAAATGGTATCATGTTTAGAAGAGGTTATACTTTATAAAATTATAATTACATTGTAGTTAAATAGTATTATGTTATCAATTATTTTTAGTCATTATAGTCAGTTATCCAAAGTTACATTTAAAAATAGTAACCTAAAGAGTAAGTGTTTCAGTTAATTTATAAATAACTAATAAATTTACCATAAAAAGAGTCTTTCCCTTCCTAAATACATTTGATAATAGTTTTATGTTTTTATACCTTCTAACATCTTTCATGAAATGTTTCGATTTAAATTATAGATATTTTATATTAATAAAACATGAATCCAACCATTTAAATTATTAATATCACTTTTAACAAAAAGAAAAATCTTAAAGTAACATATATGCTCTTATATCAAAATGTACTTTTCTAAACTTTAATACAAATATGTATTTGTGTAAATAAGTTAGGAAGATAAATTATTGAGTATAATATTATTTAGAAATCTTTCAAAATAATTTAAAAACGAATGAGACATATGTTCAATTACATAATATATTAATATCTTTAATTTAACACATTAAAAAAATAAATTTATAAATATTTATTTTTATAATGTAATAAAAAAATTTATTTATACTCAATATAAAACTTAAACAAATACTTAAATTCTCAATATTATCTTCTAATACAAACAATTTGTTCTAAACCTTAATGAAATGAATCATATTTCTAATGTATTTGATGAATCTTGCTCTTGTATTACCATATGCATCATGATGATTAAAACTCCTTTAAATGACTGTTGCGATATTAAAGCTCATTAAAGACCTATATAGTTCAAGAAACTCATTGATTGTCCAAGGCTAAGAGATTGACACGTTATGCTTCAATACTCTCCACTAGTTTTCATTCTCAAAGACTAGTTTAGATAGGTAGGTATCTATTGTAACAGTTGTCGATTTTTGTTACATAAACAAATTTGTTAAGATAAATTTCTCTCTATATATTTATAAGATATTTGTTTAGATAAATTTTTCCAGAAATATTTATGAGAAAAAATAAAAATAAAAAATTAAACAGGATTTTTTATAAGTTAAAATTAAGTTATGTATATATTGAAAATAAAAGAAAATTTTAAAAGACTGGAGAAACTTCTACAAATTAGTTTATTGTTAAAGGGCTAATCTTAGTTTTTTTTTTTAAATTATTTTTTCAAAAAGTGTTTATGAAAATATACCCAAAATAAATACTCTTTTACATTCAAAAGGATTTAAAATCATATTATTTATTTGATCTTATTCTTTTTAAGGGATAATTTTACTTTATACACCAAATAATATGATCTATTGTGTCAAAAGATTTTTGTCATGTTGATTGAGGCAGGGTACATGAAGCTGTATAAGCTTTTTTACATGTGGTTCAATTCATACAGATAAAAAGAAAAGGCTTTGACACAATACTTTAAATAATATTATCTTATTTTTGTTATCCCGTATCAGAAAAAATCACATATAAAATTGATATTGACTTAAAAATGTTATACAGTTTGAGTGTGACAAGTTACCTCTGTTTATAATGTTAGCCTCTTTCTCTCATAATCTTCCATAGTGATTGACCATAATAAATAATTGCCTCATTTTGCAAGATAATGTTATAAGAAATATGCACTAATTAAATAAGTGGTCCACTTTTTCTGTTAAGTCTAGTTTGTGTATTAAAAGAACTTTTCGTTTATCCTTTTATTAGTATGCAATGTGTTTTTACTTTAAAAAACTAAACTATTTTTAGAAGTATTTACCCCGTTTTTTTTTTTCTGGACTGTTTTACATTTACACTTATATGGCAAGTGACTGCTAACTCTCTAAATTTAAAACATATTAGTACAATAAATTTGGTTATATGTTTGACATCTAAAGACGTTATATCTGTACTGTCTTAGTAGGTTATAGAAAAGAAAATCAATTAATTAATATTAATCTTAACTATATTGCTCAAAGGTTATTTTAAATCTATTTTAATAAATTGGTTTTATGGTTCAAAATTTAACAAAAAAAAAATTCTTACCCTTAAACAAAAAAAGATATATATAATAAAATCTTTACATTGATAAGATTTCTTTTTTCACCTTCATTGTTTTTTAACTTTCTTACCTTTTAATATTTCCTAAAACTCTCGTCATTAAAGTGATTATTGTAAAAGAGAAAACAACTATACGAAAACAAATATACAACACATTTCAGCTTTAAAATCAAATAAGAAACCTAAGCATATATACATATTATAGAACTTGACAAATCCAGATAACAAGTATTGATGTTCAAGCTATCACGGTCAAGCACTTGTGGTGGCAGAATAGCTGACCTCTCGAACTATCACACAAAGTTAGTCTGTCAACCACCTATGGACAAAGAACATTAGATCATACACTAGGACATCTTGTTATTCCTCACCACGTAATCTCCTTCACTATCAGAGATGAAACAATTATTAGAGCATTATGATAACCTTTAAGAATGAGCTTCATACATCAACATCTACACTACAGGGCATCACCATGGAATCTCTCCATGAGCGTCATGGAAATTACGTCCATCAACCATCCACATAATCAAAAACAAAATCATCATAACCATCATATTCATCAATCATACCACACATACACATAAACATATTCACAACTCATGAATATTCATTTATTTAAATCAATTAAGTATAACAAATTTATAAACTACTTACCCAAATTAAAGAATATAAGCAAGGAAAAACATAAAAAACTTAGAAAAACAAAGTGCCCCAACAACAAAATTTTAAATTTTTAAGTTTAGTTTCAAGGATAATAGATTATTACACTGAACATCTAATTATTTTAGGAGAAGGAAAATCCATACAAAGACGATCTTTTGACTGACAAATAATCGATTATACTTTTGTATAATCGATTATCCCGAAAGTTTCGACAAAACATTTTGATTGAGGAGATAATTGATTATCAAGTAAGATAATCAATTATCCCTATCAGTTTTGACATTTGACATGATTTTTCATGTTTGGTTGCACCTAAGGCTGGTCCAAATGACCAAAATTAGTATCATTGATCTTAGAATTGATTCACAAACATGTTTATACTCAAAAGTGGATACTATTTGGATCTTTAGCTAGGATTTAGTTGCACCAATTCATACCAACACTCCAAAAGCTAACATATTAGATTTGACACCTTACTAACCTTATTTTTTTGTACTAAGAGTTCAAACAAGTTTTAAAAAGCCTAAAACTAGAC